CAAAATATTTACTTGGCAGCATGTTTCTCCAAAAGGACTCAAAATACACTAATTTGACTTAAAATACTTAGCTATGTCAATGTTTATGGGTAAAATTCAGAAAAAATGTACTTTTTTTGGTAGACCAACTGTGGATCACAACAAAATAGTTTACCAATAACTTCCTGAACAAATCTCGGAAAATAAAACGTTTTCAAAAATGACTAAAAATACACTCATTTGTCTTAAAAGTCTTAGCTATGTCCATTTTTGTGGTTAAAATTCAGAAAAATATACTTTTTTGGTTTGCCAACTTTTGATCACAAAAAATACTATACCAATAAGATCCTAAACAAATCTCAGAAAATAAAAGTTCCTCAAAAATGAAAAAAACAAAAACAAAAACATTCATTTGACCTAAAATACAGTTGGTACCTTCCAGTGGACTCACCACCCACAGGAAGGTTCAGGGGGGCTGGTACGGTGCAGTGTGATTTGGGTGGTGGGCATGGAGACTGATGCCCCCATGACCCGGTAACGGATAAGCAGATGAAAATGGATGGATGTTTTCAAAGCGCTCTAATTTAAATAAAAAAATGAATTTGTACTATATTGATCCCATATTTGGGAAATTAGCAGCAGATATGCTGTTAATAGGCTGCCCTTAGCAAGAGCCAAGCATGTGGTTCCTCTGGGAATCAAACCCAGGACTCTCTGCTCTCTGGTTCTGAGGGAGGTGCTAACCACTCCACTATGGATGAGAAACATGGAGAAACATTAGAATTGTGAAATTTATTTTTTCAAAAATTTTCATCTTCAGACCAACATGACACACAAAATTAGTATTTTTTTTTTCAAAAAAATGTTCAAAATGCTCTAATTTTATGAGAAACATGCGTAGAAAGATAGAATTTTGACTTTTCTTTCAGTTTCTTTTTTGAAACTGAACAAATAATATGAAGAGCTACTTGTTTAATACAGACTTGTACTTGTACAGCACAGAACAATGTAATAATAATTCTGGGACATACAATAGTAGACACTCTTCTTACCATTGTTTTTGCACCCATTTGAATATTGTTGCAAGTGGAACTGATTCAAAAAGCGCATTTTTGAACATCATGGCTACCAGGTGCCCATGGGCACCATGTTGGTGACCCCTGCCCTAATTTGATGAGAAGCCTGCAGAAAAGAGACGATTTGATCAAATTCGATTTATAGTTTTTTAATCAAATGTTTCTGTTTGACTTTTGTTTCAGAAAAAGACAAGAACTGTCCTTCACAAAAAAGTGTCACAATAGTTTTGGACGCCCAGGATTTGGACTCCAGCACCATTATCAGAGGTGTGTCCCCTGGGCTATTATGTGCGGGGAAATGCCATAAGTCATCCAAACTTGTCATGGTAAAATAAGACATCAAAAAAATTGGTCAAAGATTCTAAGATTGTTTTTTACATGATACAAAAGCAAAATATTTTCATTGCCTCCTCGTTATGTGTAGAAAAACACAATCAATGAAACAGCAACTTCACAACTGAATAATTTACTTTTAATTTCCAAAGGTATGCACTGACGTGGTCTTTGATACATACTGCACACGACAACACCACGAAACATCTGGAAACATACAAGATCGTGCAACATCCAGTCTGGTTCCCTCACACAGTCTGCACAGATAAGCCGATCACACCAGGAAGTGGAATCACGAAAAACCGTTTCCTCGAACCAGCTGCACAAACTGTGTGCTCTCTACCACTGTTACTGTGTTTATTTTCCTATCCCAGGCTGAACGTCAATGTCAATCCCTGAAAAATAAACCGACTATTCTTTTTTTTAAAAAGTAAACTATTATTCTATTACAAATAAAATATAATTCAACATAGACTATCCTTGATAGAAGTTTGTTCCTGAAAACATTTGCATCATTTTTTTTTAGCACAGAAATGCATATCAATACACACACATGTTAGCTGTACATGACATCATATTCTGAGTTAACACTTTATCATTAAGTTTGTAAACATCAATCATTCAACTAGTGATTCTCAGACGACTCAGGAATCACTTTTATATTCAATCCAATCTTTAAATATTTTTAGGTACAACAGCTTCATTGTGAATATGAAACTATTGGACTGGACAGAGCAAGCCCCAGGAGCCAATATTTGAGAAACACTGACTTAAACATAGATATTTTGACATGGAATTACATCAGAAGTCATGTTTTAAAGACAGTGTTGCTGCAGTGACATTAACAGAAAACATATCTGGATGACAAAAACAGAATAAAAACAAAAATAAACAAAGGCTACGTTTATTGGAGCAGGATGTAATCATGTCTGCAAACCAGGTCATTAAGTGAGTTTAAAAGGTTTCTTACTGATCCCATGTCCATCTGTAGAAGATTAGAAGAAGGGACAGGACTTCATGGACATTCTCAAAGTCATGTAAGTGGGCTGAAACCTTCACAGAACTCTTGTTCAGTTCTGCTGTCTGCCTTTGAAATTCTAAAACTCCAATTTATGTGGATTTCAGAAATTTCTAGAGGTTGAAGAAAATGATTGAGAAACGCTGCAGAAAATCGGAATGTAGCCCGTGACTCTGGGTTGTTTTAAAAAAATATATTACATTTCATTGGCACTTAAATAAATGTTTTTACATAAATACAGAGAAAAACAAACTCATGACCAAACACAAACAAATCTTTTCCCCCCAATAAATTGGCTTCTTGGTAAAGTGCAAGGCAAGATACAGTAAACTAGGAAATGTACGACAAACTCGTTTCATATCTGAAGCACTAGCAGCTCACAAACACACACACACACACACACACACACACACGTTTCATAATCCGCTTAACAACTTGGCACAACATGATGGATAAGTTTAGTACAATCCTATGAAATGTGATCATCTACGGCGCCTCACAGTGGCCACGCCCCCTTGCTGGGTTCAGTTAGGTTTAGTTTGATGAAGACACAAAGTGAGAAAAGAACAAACAGTTGCACGTGAGCAGAAAGGTGAAGCGAAACGATCCTTCAGTCCAATTGTTGGGTGATCAGAGAGTGTGATCAGAGCAGCTTCACTCATGAATCAATAATTCAGTTATAATTAGGCCTCATTGTTGTTGTTTTTTTTTTTATTCTAGTCACAGAAACCTGAACTGAGTCTGTGTTATTCTCTCAGGTCAAACATACTCATCAATGACATCAATTCATTTTTGAGCTAATATATATATATATACACACACACATATATATATATACACACACACATATATATATATATATATATATATAAGAAAATATCTGGTGTTATACTCTTTGTCAATCAACTGCAGAGAAACAACAGACTAACAACAAAGACTGGTCTGGTACAAGTGTTTTCTCTATCATCTCATCAGGTCAGCTGACAGATGGTTATGAAGTTCTGAAGGATCATTTCTGTAAAGTCCTGGCCTTCACTTGTAGGTGAAGGTGTTCAGTGTAGTTTTTAGCTGCTTTTATGCCACAAACAAATGTATAAAAAAACTCTGTAAATGACAATCTCAGGTCTGGCAGTTTGTTAGAACGTGCTTAGTGAGAAGTGGGTTTGAAGACAACAGAGGTTTCTCACTAGGCTTGTGCAAAATGTGCGATTATATAATGTGCGATTACTCGTCAGAAAAACTGTTCTGGGGGAATATTTGCCACATTGCGATTACTGCGATTAGTGCTGCGTTGTTAAGGGTTCCAAGCATCCCTGAAGAACGGGACCTCTCGTATTTAGAAATAAGAATAAGCAAGCTGAAAAGGGTCAACTTAGTTCTGTATTACTGTGAGAATCAAAAACAGCCTGTAAAACAGCCTGTATAATGTCAATAGAATTAATGAACAAAAGGACGCTTTTCATGAAAACGTACACGTTGGCATTGAGCTGAGAAGGGAGTTAGCAATCCTACGCACGATGATGGCGTATTTTTGTGTGTGACGCACTCTCACTTGAAACACCGTGTATGAAGAAGTCAATCTGTGCCTTACCAGCGCCAACAAGCTGGAAGCAGATTACGCTAGCTAAAGATGCTAAAGATAAGCTGCCACTCCAACAACTAATGAAAAACAGTGCTCCAGAGATACAGTTTACATCTAGAAAACTGTTCTGTGAAAACATGCACTAGTGTGACATTCCCTTTACTTATTTGTCCTGTTTAATTTAGATGTGTCTGTTATGTCTACACATTCAAACATGGCTGACTGGTCACTAATCACACCTCACTATTTTAACCTATTAGAATAAAGAAGTTGATTTGACTGATGATTGGTTAGTATCACTTTAGAACACAGGGGAACTGATTTAGAGTCAAGAACATGCAGGTGCAGTTGGGATCAATGAATTGTCAGATTAATCGTTATCAACAAAATGCCACGAATGATCGGGATTAATTATTTTACCAATATCGCCCAACCCTATGTCTTCATTCATTTGTTTGTGTTAGTTTTGCAATAATCTAGTTTTTAAAGACTGTTAAAGTAAAAACAACAAGCAGGTTAAAGCATTGACATCTATTTAAAAACTGAAGAGGAAGAGACTCAACCTGTGTGGCTGTAAAGAATGTCTTCATCAAGAAGAGCTGGAATCAGACTTATGCACAGTGACTAAGAAGTTTGGAGGGGGGTTACTACTGGGAAAATAACATATAAAAATATTTATATATTGTAATAATAATAATAAAAGCGTTTAACCACAGACAAGGCAAAAATTTAAAATATCAACAGGCTGATAAAACAAGTACAATCAGAGTATGGTTTCTGCTCTCTCTTCACCTGTAAACAAACAAACAAACACATACGTCTGTCCTCGTACCTGGAAATGATCCTGATCATTGAAATGAACAGCAGGGGGAGCTCTCTCTATTTAACATAGGACACATTTGTCAAAAAAATAAATGAAACCAAATCCAGCAGTCAGACCTTCTCCAAGGGACAAACCCAGAAAAGGTTCATTATGGAGCTGAGCCTCCCACTCACACAACAGTCCCACAGTAGAACCACTGAGAACCAACAACAGTCCCACAGTAGAACCACTGAGAACCAACAACAGTCCCACAGTAGAACCTCGGTGAGAAGGATACGTTTTCAGGGTTTTCAGTTCCAGTCCTCACAATTACTACATTCTCCAAGATTTTTTGCGACATGTTAGATGTTCAGATGATAAAAGGTTGAGATGTTACAGTTTGTTCAGTTTGTCGCCGTCAGGAAAGTATGGCAGTAGCAACAACAAATAAATACTCTGAGATTTGAGTTCAAAGAACTGTGTATTCGTAGGTTTCAGAAGAAAAGAACCTAAAAAATGTCAATAAAACTACAGGTCTGTATTCGACATGCAAGAAGAGCAGAACGTAAACTCCAAGATATCAACAAAAAGTTTGTTGTTGTTTCGCACCTTTGTTGTTCTGCTAGGTGTGTTAGGCCACACCCACTCCCTGAATCAAGCAGGTAAACAGGAACCAAAGTTAAAAGGACAAAAAAGACAAATATAACCCTGCCTGTTTGAGAAAGGGTGGACTGAGGAGAAACATGAGGAGGAGACGGCGTCAAAATCAGGAAGATGTTTTTTTTTTTTTTTCATTGTTCTTCCTTGAACCTCAGTCTAAGGGGGGGAGAAGAACGGTGGAGGACAAAGCCTCACCCCGGTCCTTAGGGTAACAGAGGCATGACATGAAACCTGGTCAAAGGACTTCAGTTGCATGAAGAGTCGGCCTCTCCAGCGCCACCCCTGATTTCCCACGTTCCTATTGGAGAAATCAAATAAAAGACTTGTTTTAGTTTGACTCTACTGAACCCCAAAGTCAGTGGAGTTACAAATGTTGGCTTTATCTCTGTCCTGCTTTTATTCAGCTGTTCTAAAAGTAGATCATCTCTGTGACACCAACTACATCTGCAGCCTCACTTCCACTACTATCTTCATGAATCCGCTCCGGAACGATATGGTCTACAGTTTTTTCATCTATCCCATGATGGAACCTTATCTCCTCTCCTAAATCTATCTGACCCCATACATGTCCTGTACCACCCTTAAGTACTTTTTGACCACTCCTGAGTTACACCACCGTTCCTTACTCGACATCCCATCGTCAAGACGCGTTTCCCTGACCTGATCTTCAAGTTCAGACCATCCTTCTCAAAGAGAAAATGATTTTGCGGTACTGTTACAGAACAGTACGTTACAGTTACTTCCCTGCCCGAGGTCCAGACACACCTGGAGGATCTTTCTCCTAGCCTTTTACCTGAGAGGGAGCTATTGGACTTCTGCTTGTGGAGCTTCTCTTTCTCCTTCTTCACCTTGGGGATGATCTTCAGCTTCATGCTGCTGCTGCCGCTCTTACTGCTGATCCTCACCGAGTCCTACAAAGTCACACCCAACATACCAGACCAGGTTATTTACACGTATCCAGTTAGAACTCCTCTGAACGCAGAGTCGGTGAACTTGAAGATGAACCGACCTCCTCAGAGCACTGCATGAGCGGACAGATCCAGTGGATGTCATCCAGTTTGTGGAGCTCAGCACTGAGGCTGTTCAGAGTCGACCGTAGCTCCCCCTCCTCTGGAGACTCTGACTGAGGATGAGGAGAAACGGTTTATATATTGTATACATTATTATTGTCACTGACTGGAGAAATGTCGGTCATTAATTTCGAGGATGAGACAAGTGCCCTGTAGGAGGAGCCCTACAAACCTGACAAGGTATAACATATAAAATATGCCTTCTAAATAATTTTTAAAAATGTCAATTAACAAAACAATAACAGAGTTTTGATGGTCAACAGGTATGGACAACTTCACAGATGTTACCATGAAGTTAACATTTTTGTCAATGATTGTAAAGAAGTCTGTAAAAAATAGTCAGCTAAGACAAACTGGCAGAATGAAGAGCAGAAGAAATGAAAACATGTAGTAGAGACAGTGTGGACAAAGTTCAATGTCCTTCAGTACCAGTAGTTTTCCATCCAGCAGCATCCTGGTCTCAGCCTGAAGAACTTTACTGCTGTTGACGATTTCCACCGCTGTGCTGCGACTGAGACACTGAATAACAACAAGAAGATATTTCACTTTCCAGGCCAGACCTTTGATTCAAAGATTCAAGATTCAAAGCGTTTATTGTCATGTGTACAGTAAGGAAAGCAGGTTTCCCTGTACAATGACAATTTTACTTTGCTGTCCACACTGAATGCCAAAGAAATCAAGAAATAAAATAACAAAATATACACATGAATAAAATAACAAAATATACACATGAAT